TCTTAAGAGAATTCTTTGGGAATTTTTATGCCTCACTGAGAAATCTCTCCTACATCGCCATTCCTTATTGTCATTCTCAAATGTTTGTTACAGTTGTGCCACTGAAGAAGTCATAGGGAATACTGATCTCACTGCCTCTTTTATTTTCTTGTGCTGTCCTGCAGTAAATCTGTCTTGTGTTTGCAGTTTTTTCATATTTGAGCGTATAGTAAAAAATGTATCAGTTTGCCCTATCAAAATCAATGAACAAAGTTTACACCCCTTTCAACCAATTTTCTTGTTGGAAGTTCCCCAGTAGTTCATTGGACATGTTTCCTTATTAAGGTTTTTTTCCATAGATGACTCATTTTACATTGGCTCCACAAAGCGATTATGAAGTCTAAAGATAGGCAGAAGGAAGGCAGCAGATTCTTGTAAGATGAGTTGAAATTTGTTGCAGCTGATACAAGTACATTATTATTTTAATAATACTTGAAATATGCAACAATCAACAACCTGAGCAAATGACTGTAAAAAAATCTCATGGTTCTTGTGCATCAGTGAGACTCCAGGTGAGTCTTGTCTTTACTGCTTTCTTGCTGCATGGACTTTGTAAGAATAAGAGCAGATTTTGGTTTATTTACTGAGCTAATTGTTGGGATCCAGTGAGTTACAGCACAGTGAAGCTCAAGAAACCTGTCATGCCTTTAGCTACAACCTTACTGGAGCATAAAACAGATCATACAAATGCTCAGGAAAATGAGTAGACTTGTAAGGAAAGCAGTGTGGAGGGAACTTATGACAGTGTCAATGCAGAAGACTCGTGCAGGAGGTTGGAGTGAGGACAAGCTCACTCAAGGATATAAAAATACTCCCTGCATATGCAGAGATGGTATTAAGAAAGCCAACATTCCACTAGAGTTGAAACTGGTAAGGGACATCAAAGGCAACAAGAACTTCCAGCACTGCATCAGCAGTTAAAGAATTAAAAAGAGAAACGAGGGAAATACAGGCTTGCTACCGACAGGTGATTTAATGACAGTCAGTATGGGCAATGCTGAGGAACTTGGTGCTTTCTTTGCCTTGGTCTTCACCAGCAAGATCTTCTAGGCTTTTGTACCTATAGTCAGGGCTCAAAGTGGAGGATAACTATCAGTAGTGGAAGAGGAGTGGTTCAGTGTTCTCTTTTCGATATGGGGAAGGCATCTTTGCGTGCTGTTGGGTATAGGGCATAAGCCTTCTAAAATTAGGAATGCTAAAGAGGACTTGGAAAAAGAATAAGAAAGCCAGTGAAGTAAATGTTTGGGATGAATATGAACAGTTGTTCATAGTGTTTCTTCAAAATTTTCAATACAGAGTCTCATCCATTTGGCTTGTCAACAATGCTGAAATGTTTTTGAAAGTAACGTCTCTTGCTGTTAATTATAAAGTCATGCACTGCTGTCTGCTGCTTCAGAACTCCTGAAAAATGTGGTTAGTAATACAGCAGGTTGCAAACCAAATTTTCTCATAAGAATTGGTGTAATGGATGGGAGTGAATGCCTTTTGATACTTACAAAGTGCACGGTTGAAATACGCAGGGACAAGAAGAAATGAAGGATAGGGAGGCAGAAGCAAGATCATTAGGACTGTTAAACAGTAGAGATGATGGCTTTTCGGAGTGGATCACAGTTCTTACAGATTTCAGGTTTTTAATTTGTGAGAATAAGTGCATGATTGTTTCCCTGTTACTCTGCCCTTCATCCTTGATTGTTTTAGATTAACGTGAAGGTGGTGTTCACAATGATGAAAATGTAACTGTTAAGGAGGCAGTGAGAAAGCTGATAAGACACCAGTACGTAATATATACTGTCAATGTTTATTGAAATAAAGTATTTAAATCCCTGTGTGCATCATCTCTTCGTATCTTAGTACTTCTGGGAAAAATGGTTTTACCATCCATCAAACTCAGTGAGACTGATGATGGTTAACAGAGCAGAGTGTTAAACACTTAGCAATGGAAGTTGGACACAATGGCTAAAGAAGTAACAGACAGCAAGATGTTCCTGTATTTGCCCCTTTATTTCTGAACTATCTATATAGAGTTCCTCTAGATATCACGCCTTATAGATACTTCAAGTTAGGTTTTCCTCTGGACCGTAATACCTGATCCTAACTGATCTGCCACAAAAAGTTAGAATTTGTTTAATGCTTTTCCAGCCGCATCATGAAATGAGTTTATGCATTTCAGTCCATGCTTAAAATCGTAATGAGCTTTCCAAGGAGATTATAAAACCAGCATAATGCTGCTGCAGTCTTTTTCCTAAAAATTCTGTTTGGTCATTCTTTGGTCATCAGTATTATTCTCTGTCTACGACTGTTGTGTGAAGGACTGGCTGAACTGAATTTGTATTCTGAACAGACCTATATCCTTCCCTTCCCCCAACTGGCAGAAGGTGATCAGCTTTGTGTTTACTGCTTTCCTTACCATGTTCCCAGATGATTCTTGGTAATGGACGTGTACGGGGCCCAGATTAAGGAGTACGTCATTAGATACTGTATTATGTTCCAAGAATAGGTTGCTTTAATAAGGGAACGTAATGCAATTTGAAACAAATTTCCTGATGTGTGGAGTACTGTAGTGTCTCATCTAATGTATGACTTCACATTTGCAAAGGATCCAGATCATTCCTTCTGCATCCAAAGATAACTGCGGAAGTGCTATAAGGCACAGTGTTTCAGTTCCATACGTAGTTTGTTGTGTGCCCATCTCTGCTTCCTGCAATACCATTGTTCTGGAAAGACCAAACAGTGTACAGTGTTGTGCAGCAACTTGTCCCATGGATTTTGGTTTCCTGTCTTGATGAGGTCCTTGGTAAGGACTTAAACGATTTATTACTATCACTTCTCTGCCTGGATTGTATGTTCAGGAGAAGCCACTTCATCCAAGTCTCACCTCCAGCCCTTTAAGACTGAGTGATCATTCTACCCATGTGTAAGAAATCTTGCTCAAGAGATGTTCCAAATATTTTTAACAAATGAAACCTTGGTGGTTTTTGGGGTTGTTTTTGTTTGGGGTTTTTTTTTTCCCTTTGCAGCTGATGAAGCTTTATCATGTCTCATCTTTTTAAGCGGGCATTCCACTTGTTTTGAACTATGAAGTTTGTTAAGAGGAGATTTGTTTGTCACTCTGAAATTTATGTTTTTTCACGTTCTGTAATATCAGTAATTCTTCAGAAGTGTGCTACAACAGGACCTCTCTCAGGGAGGCTTCCAGAGCCAGTTCATGCTTTGGCCAGATTGTTCTTCAGTTACTCTTTGTTAAGATTTCAGTGCCTAATGTCCTGTCCATAAGCTCCTTGCATGGAAGGTGCCCAGAGTTGATTGGAGAAGGTCAGTTAAAGAAGAAAATTGTTACTTACTTTCTAGGGGAGTCTTCTGAAGAAAAAAATCTTAATAAGGCTATATTTGTTTCCTGTGACCTTCTCCTTATCCCTGCTCTTTCTGGACAGTTGACCTTGCTGCTATGGTTCGTATATATTTCGAAATATAAATATTCATATATATTTCAAAATAAATTTGACTTAGATTTATTTTGAAAATATACACAATCTCCACTGGTTTGGTATTCACATAGTGAGACAGATGACTTTGTTGATAAAACAGAATTTTTCTGTGCCATGAAGCATAGTTATACAGTAAAGTGTTAGAAGAAAAGAAGGCTTTCATTTGTTATTGTTCAAGCTTTCTAGGGGTTTGGCCTTGCATTTTAATATTTATTTCGTGCTTTTGCATACAAGTCCTACTTTAATAGGCTCTAATGCTCTCATGTAATATGTTCCTGTCTTGTCTTACTGCACTGGTAGAAATGTGCTGATAGTGCTGTGCTTATCTCTGCCAATCTATTTTTCATTTTTAGAAAAGTCATCTAAGTTGTCACTAAATGTATGATATTTAAAAGGTATTCAACACTGCTTTTATTTCATGCTGTGCTAGTTTATGTACTCGTTTTATGATTTACTTGAAGTCTTGAATCTTTTCTTTCAGAACTGGTAAGCTGAATTGAGATTGTATGGCAGTAATGCACATACAATGATGCTCTCAGAAGCATCTGGGTTGTTTGCTTGTTTTTTAAGAGAATTGTTTGGTAGTAGCATTAATAATAGAAAAATTTCCTACCTGATGGCAATGATAGTCAGCGCAGGTTTTCTCATGGCATGCCCCTGTTGACTTTCCAGCTGCAGAAAACTGGAAGAGTTTTAATACAGTTCTATTAAAAAGACAAAATTTTATGTCAGACTTTCAAAGTATTATGTTGACATATCTGGGTCTATTGTTTGTTGTTAGTTTTAACATGGCAGCAGTCTTGAATCACTCTTGACTCATGTGTTCACAGGTGCTTATTGGACCGTGTAGCTCAATGCTGCATTTTATATAGCACTGCTACAGTAGAACATTTTAAATGTAGACTCTCAAAGCAGATTTGTAATTTCACAGCCTTTAAGTACTTCACAACTTCTTACAGTTTGTTATTGTGTAGACAGATGTTTACAGCCAATTCAGTTGTAAATAGTTAAAAAATATAGATACACACAGTGAGAGGGATAGTATAAAACAGTGTTTGTTTATTTAGAGTATAAAACCATGTCTGCACTTACGACATAATACAGTATAGAAAAAAACCAAACTGAAAGGAACATAAGATTGTAATAGCTTAATGTACTCAAGTGTACATAGTTAGTATCTTTTTGTATAATGCTTCAATGGCTAATATTAACATGGCTGGCTGTGTTAATACTAACAGAAGGCTAAATTCCTTAGTCTACGGAGTGAAGTGTTATTGCAAGATGTTAGAAAATGACATAGTAGAAGACAGAGAATTTACCTCTGAGCATTATAAAGAAAAATAATTTTTTCTTTTCCAAAAGTGTTTCTGTGGAGATTACTATCTAGGGTAGAAAATGTTAAATAGGATATTAATTTTTCTGAAACGTCTTGTCTGTTTAGTTTAGCCTTAAGAGATAGAAAATACATCTATCTACATGGCTTTTACGTGTCCCATGGCTTTAAAGTATCTGAAGCAGGTTGACAGTTACTGGTTTATAGCAGGCTTGTGTCCTTTAGTGCCTATGCAGTGTGATACCACGGTGCTAGATGCAGTGAGTCTACTAGACGTTCCTTTGGGCACTGTATAACAGAGGACAGAATAGAGCACTGTTTGCAGGCGTGATGAAAGCAAGCTATAACTAAAATATTACAGCATTTTGATGTTTAAGAAAATCATGTAGCTGTATTCCAATTTTCAGAGCAGTGGAAAGAGTTCTGTGTTGGAAAGTCTTGTGGGGAGGGATCTGCTCCCACGAGGTACTGGAGTTGTCACCCGGAGACCCCTTATTCTGCAGCTGGTGCATGTTTCCCCAGAGGATGGTCGGAAAACATCTGGAGATGAAAATGGTAAGTGTGATCCAAGAGTGTGTTTTGCATAATAGGAAAGACACTTTTAATCTTTCTTGTTCATTTGACTGAAAAATCAGTTGTTGTCATCTTAAAACTTGAGTGTGCTTTTTAAAACTTACTTGGAACAAAATGCAGCTGTTGTCACATCTGTTCTATCCATTTAGCAAATGTCATAAAGTCAACATCTTTTGGATATTCAAAATATCTTTAATGTTTTAAGCTTTCCTGTTTGTTCTTAGGAAACGCTTTTGAGAGAAGCAGGCCAAAGAAAGCATTTCAGTTATGCTAATGATAGTCTAGAGTGTAGAGAACATGATTTTTCTTGTATGTGTAGTTCTTCCCCTCTTTTGCTGTATAAATAAAGTTTTTCCTTGAGGGGATGAGTATGTGCCTTTTTAGAAGGAGGTTAGGAAATAGGTAAGTTCTGAATAGAGTGGAAGAAAGAGAAATGAAATTCTGTTTGCATCTACAAGTTTGTTTTAATGGGCAAGTTCTGTAGCCTGCAGATGCTACCTTACTGAGCTGCACTGAGAGATTCCAAGCGCATCAAGAACAACACTTTAAATGTTCTGAAGCTGTCTAGTTTGAAGCTTATCTCTTCTGTAGTGTTTTTATATTATCCTTCAGCAGATCATAAAAGTAATCTCAGTTGTCCCTTGGGAATTTACATGCTCATTCTATACTAAGTAGTGCCGTTGATCTTACGAAAGAGGAGCAGGGGCATATCCACCTTCTGATGGTAAGATAAATCTTAGCTGTTTGATGTAGACAGTAAAAAGTACACAGACTTTTGATGGCGTGATAAACTTGGGGCTATAATTATTAATTCTTATTGTGTTCAATTTTTTTAAATTCATTTCTAGCAAATAGTAAGTCAAGGTATCCGAAGTTCTTTACAGTATTTGTTTTCATGTAATATTTATAGCCTTTGGTTTCTGAAGAACAGTTACTAATATCATGTAGTTTTAAAAGGTTTAAGCTCAAATTTTCATTATTGCTGCAAGCAGAGTACACAATTCAGGTGCATAACAAATAAGAACTTTTAGTGTGCATGCAGGTTGTGCTGGATTTTGAGAGACTGTAGGACAATTTAGGTTGGAAATGATCTCAGGAGGTCTCTAGTCCAGCTTCCTCCTCAAAAAAGGCCCAACCCTGAGCTCAAGACCAGGTTGCTCAGGGCTTTATCCAGTTGGGCCTTGAAAATCTCCAAGGATGGAGAAATCAGAGAGTCTCTGGGCAACCTTTCAGAAATGGCATATTTGATCTGTTTAAATGTGGTTTTATGTTACTTGTATTGCACAATGTATAGTGTCTAGTACTTTTCAGAATGCTTTGCTTTCTATTTGTAGGACAAAATGTGATTTTTGTTCTGCTCTGCAACTTTACAGGTATAAAAGCTGGTTTTGTAATTAGTGTATTCCAAGTCAAGGCAGAGCCTTCTGTTGTAGGTTGCATTTGATCTGGGGATTCAAATTTTAAATTTAAAATAGGATAATGATATTATTGTATATGTGGTCTGACTTCTGTAATAGTGTAGTGACTATCACAGCCATATTTTTGTTTGTTATGAAGTGGATGTTGAAGTAGGGTTGAATATGTATTTGGGATTTCCCAGAGGGAAATCTATCCATAGTCTTGCAGAAAAGGATTTTCTTGAGATGAGGGGTTTCTTCTTTACAAATTGAATATTGAAGACAGAGTATCAGTCTCAGCATGCTGCTTTCTGAATGTGCTGGTAAGAAGCTCTTTGTGTGCACAATACTTTTATGCAACTGCCTCTTTGTTTTGTGATTTCTGTTTCATGATTTGTCACCTTTATCCATCCTAATGCTTGCTCTCGATGTCTACTAGTATTGCATATAAATACATCCATTTAAAAATAGTACTAGTTTGTGGTTCCTATAAGCTTACCTCTGAGTGTTTGCATCCAGAAAGCTTCCTTGTTTTTAACACAGAGCATTTTAGATTGCTATGGTATTCATGTGAGCATGGACAGTTGCGTTGTCTTTATGACTATGAGGGAGAAAATTGTGTCTCTCCAGTAGCTTAATTTTGACATCTTCTCATGCATGTGAACTGCCAAAGAATATCAGTTCATATCAATTTAGGGTTTTTGTTTGGTTCGTTTGGGGGCTTTTTCGTTTTGTTGTTTGTATTTTTTAAAAATTTTTTTATTTGATTCTTGGGAGCACATTGGGAAAGACTTGAGAAAGTTCAAATGTCTGGCTGCAATTCTAACTTCTGATTTTCTAACATGCAATGTTAAAGATGATCTCTGCTGTTCTTAAAAGTCACTGATGAAGTATGTGATGCCCTTGTATGGTGATCACTGCAATAAATCAAGATAGTCAGAAAATAGCAGAGGGATGAATTTTTCATTAAAAATGAAGCGCTCTGTTTTCATAATATGGTATTTCAGACTGATACATATATTCTACAGAGATGTGTGTGGTTTGGTATGAAGGAAATGTTCTCATTATGCTTTTGCTGTTTATTGTTAGCCTCTAGTAATTCGGCACATATGGTGTGTTTGATGTGGTGATACCACACGGTGGTGTTCACTTATCAAATTGCAAGAGAAGCAGCGTTACAAGAGAACTGGGCCTGGTTTCATGAATTATTAAATCGGTCTTGTGGCTAAGACCTATTCTGGTAGCTTACCCATTTGTTACGAAGTAGAGGAGAGGCAGGAATGTATGAATAGTGAATTAGTAAATGCTTATCGGTTCTCTTTCTTTGTCCAAGAAAGGAAGCTGAACATTGTTCAAATTCTGAACAGATAGAATTAATATGGAACACGGGAATAATTAATACACATCTGTTGCTTGCCAAATCAACACTGTTTTGTCAGCTTTTTGCTCTCTATTTCAAATAGGAATCTCTTACCCCTAGCTCCCAAACAGTGTGGACTGCTTCATTTTACTTAGCTTTGTAGAAGCACAAAAGAAAAAGAGCTTTCAGTCAAAAGAGCTTGCCATCTAGTTAGCATAAAGGATGGAAAAAATGATACAACATACAGAAAGGTTTGGAAGATACGCACCTTTTTTTTTTCCACAAGTTGGACTCTTTTTTTTTTTTTTTTAATTTAGAGAGAGCTAGGAAAGGATGAGGTGACTGGGAGGAGGGGAGAGAGTTCAGATGGTAATCTGCTGGGCCTAAAAGCTGTGAAGGTATGTGAATTAGAAGGCTAGGAAAACAAGTAAGATTCTTCATGCTTTGTTGATCTTTGTCGTTTTTAGGATTTGGGAAGCTCTTGTTGCCATGCCACAAGAAATCCTCTTTTGGTAGCCTTTTAGAACTCTGAACAGCTTCTTTGCTCCCATTGTGTAATGGAAACCATTTCTACTGCTTTAGGAAGGGAGAAGAGATACATGAATAACTGAAGTAGGTTAGCATTGTACTGTATTTGAACTTCTTAAAGGAGTACTGCAGCATAGAAGATAACAAGTAACAATTTGGCAGAGGGCAGTCCTGAGAAAAATACCGTAATCATGTCTGTTTTTTCAGTGTATTAATTAAAGTTTTCAGGTCTCTCTCCAAGATAGGAAAAAACAGAAAAGCAAACGGACTATTGTTTTATTTAGTAGATTTTTTTTATTTGAGAGGCAGGATCTGTTTGTTCTTAATAGCTGCTGTTTTAATAATTCCTTATAATCTGTAATACTTCATTTTATAATGACAGAGATGTTATTTCTGCATACTTTTATCTATCATTGAATCTTGAATGTAATCAGATGATTAATTCACATGAAAGCTTTGCCTGAAAAGCTTCCAGAAAGTCATGTAATAGAGGGAAGACTGATTTACCAGTGAAACCAGTGATAAAAAAAAAGTTCTACATGTAAACTAGAACATTGGGTTGTTGAATGTAAGATAATTAGAATATTTTCTCCTTGCCTTGAGCATCCTTGCATTTTGAGTAATGCAAATTCTTCCTCCTTTCCTAAAAAGTCCTTTGCATTAAATTAGACCTATTGGAAATTTTTTCTCAGATATTAAAGGGGTGTCAATACAAACTTCTGAGGAGGAGTGGGGCAAGAATCTCCCCACTGTATAAAATGAAACTTCAAAAAGCTTACAGTTGGACCAGATAAGATTTTCTGTACACCTCAGGAGACTGCATTTATTCCTTATTTTTTTCTTCTTTTTTTATGTGCACCAAGGCTGAGGTTAAGACTAAGCTATTTATCATGGCTTCAATCTCCTCTTGTGTTATATATAGCAAAGAAAACTTGCGGCTTGGTAAAGCTTAAAAAATTTTCAGTCTCCTTTGATCTGTAGATGTTAACACATTAAAATGCAATGCCTCTGACTAGAATGCATGTTTTTAATATGTATTTTAAAAAGTTAATAGATTATACTAAAACAAAACATTTCTTCATACAAAGAACTAAGCCTAGTACCTAGCTGCAAATTCCTATACCACCACAAAACCAGTAATGTAAGACTAAAACAGTGTGTCCTACGAGGACATCATTTCCCTAGGAGGGACGTAATAGGAGAGTGCTTGGTTCGTATCTTGCAAATGTAATGGTGACAGTGTCTTGCTGTACCTTTTTCTTCCTGGCTTTATGCCTGTCTTTACTTTCTTGGATTCAATTTTTAAGAGGGGATAAGCAATACGATCTTGAAGATACTATAGTTTGTTCCTGTATGTGCATTTTGCTTTATTTCCTCTGAACTGTAAACCTGTTAATAACCTGGAATTAACAAGCCCTTTCATTTTGCACTTATTTTGGAGACTGGTATGCAATTTTGCCTGTTTACCAACCAAGACAAACAAAAGCTGCCTCCTAACAATGGTTTATTCATATCTCATGTGCCTGCAGAACAGTAAGGTTAGAAGTAGTTTGTTTTTTAAAATTTTTTCCTTAATGGATCCAGTCCATCTAAATCAGCGTATTTCCATTGATGATGAACCTTTGACTTAGCCACCTGAGCAAGACATTAAAACTCCCCATATGTACTGGGCTTTTCAAATCGATCAATTGATTGTTGCTGTGCTACAGGCACATGCCAAAAATGTCTTCACCGGTTTGTTTTGATTCTTGCACTTCCATGGTGCTGTACTGGCATCACATAAAAATAGAGTTGTAAACTCATCAACCCTTCAATACAAACTTTTTTTTGTAATGGGATTTCCATAAATATGTTGACAAAATTAAAAGTTGAGAAGGGTGGTAGCTAATGTTGTCTCTTCTTAAATCTGTCTCAAACTTCTGTAATTGTTTTTTTAATTGAGCATTAGAAAGATTGATGCAAAACCTCAGATTTCTTTCCCATACAGTAATATTACTTCCAGTGACCTTAAAAATGTTTCCTTACTCTTTCTTATTCTTGCCATGAGTAAATGATGAGAAACATACTTCGCAAAAGAAGTTCAGCTTTGCGGATCCTAATGGTGCTGTTTTCTGAGCTCAGATAAAAATGTTGTGAGCTGTTGGAATTAGATGAACAGCAATAATAGTCATCATCAAGTAAACTTTCATATAGAATTAATATTAATATTAATATACATCATTGAGTAGTGTAAAGATCTTATTTCTGTGCATATTGTTAATATGTTACACATTCTCATCAATAGTAGAATAGCATGCACATCTGTCTGCATGCATCTGTGACCTTTCTAATACCATCTGGTACTGAAAGTTAATAAAATGCTATATTAAATATGATAAAAATTTTAAACATCATTCAATGCTGTTTCTCTTTAACTGCAGACCCTGCTACATGGAAAAATCCAAGACACCTTTCTAAAGGTTGCCTTTATCCACTTGCTTTTTTTCCCTACGCATAAAATGCATGCTTGTATACACTAAACCACATACATTTCATGCCACTTTATTGTTGATTACACTTTTACACTTGGCTACTGTGTTGATTGATTATTTTGCTGAGTCTCGTGATCTGGTTGCTTTTAGTTTTTTGGGGGTTTGTGGTTTGTTTTTTTTTTTCTTAGTTTTTTTGAACTTGTTGCCTTAGAATGAGATTTTTGCTTTTCTTCTGTGCTGTTACTGCTTCATAGAATTTTCTGCACTTTTAATTCCCAAATCCTTTGGAAAAAAATCTCTGTTGATCAGTATCTTGAAATTCAACTTGAGTGAAGAAAATGTTTTGCAAGATGACTTGATTGTAGGTAAGCAGCATTTTTGCCAAATGGCCAGATTTCTTGTAGATTTCTTCTAGAGCAGATTGCTCTATTGGGGAGCAGACCCCAAACTACAAATTTGAAATGGAACTTATCACTAATACTTGGAAACCTTGTTGTGGAAATGTGAGTATCTCAATAGTGTAACTCAAACTGCTGCCTGTGCTATGAAGCAGGAATTCACAAAACCTCCTTTGCTGTTTCTGGGACTGCTCTTGAATAGTGCCCAAGTAATTCCAGACATCAATGGTGACTGACAAGATGTTTGGTCCTTGACAGATTTTGGAAGAGACATGTTCTCCTAAGACTTCATTGTTATGCAGAATACTTAGTATTTTCTGTTTGCTTGGTTTTAGTTCTACAGGTTTTTCTAACTTTTTCTTTCAGCTGTACAGCTGTAATTTGATCTCACTTGCATGGTAAAAGAAAAGATGCTAAAAGCTGGTATTTTTTTTCAGGTTTTTTAAAGCTATTGCTAACAATTCTTGTTTTCTGTTGCAAGCTGATATTTAAGGGACTAGACCATTTCTGAAAAATGGCAGGATAGCCGATTGGCTCAGTCACAGTTAGGAAAGTGGTCCTTATGTAAGAGAGACAAGTTAAAAAGAGTAATGAGATGCAATGTTTCAATAAGCAGAATCATAAATGTATTTGTACTGAGCTATGTAACATCTAACTGTAGAAAGCAGACTAATTTTTCTCTTGCTGCTTGAAAAAAGGCATATTGCATTGTAGTTTTCAACAAACAGGCTCTTGGGGAAAATGTTACTGAAACATCTGCTTCTTCTTCCTCATGTATCAATTCTTTGTTTTCAGAGATAGATGCTGAAGAGTGGGGTAAATTTCTTCACACCAAAAATAAGGTATGTTTATTCTGATGATGGAGTAGCAGTGTCATAAATATGCCTTCATATATATATACTTAATTCTTATCTCTTCCCTTGACTCCTCCAGGAAGTATTCTGCTTTCTATAATATATGCCAGAGTATTGGGGATTTTGTTTTGCTTTTTATGAGTAGAAAACTGAAAACATTCTTTTAAACTCAAGACAGAAGGTTTATGAATAGTTGTCTGTTGTGTGGAACATTGATTCTGACGAGTTATTTATCTTAATCCTTTTTTGTGTCATTTGGTTGATTTTTCTTTTTTGTGCATTGGTAAAATTAGAATGGACATTGCAAAGACAAGGAAGTATATAAGCACAAGTCATTTCAGACCACTGAAGAACTGGCTACTTCAGAGATGTATTAGAAAGCTATGAAAAGGAAGGAAGAGCCTAACACACATCAAGGGGGAGAAGCAGAAACTGAGATGACATAGGACTTCAATAAGAGAGTGAAAGCTTAATTTTTTGCTTGAAGAAAGTAATCTTTTTGTTGGCAGATGAATTATTTAAGTGTTTTATTACTTTAAACTGATTTCCTCACCTTCTAGGCAATGCTAGAAATTAAAGGAAAACTAGAGAGGAATGCAGAAGGAACCTGTGCAAGGGTAGCTCTGTGCTAAGTTATTTTTGATTGGTGAAAGGAGAATAGTGTTGACAAGAGTGGAAAAATTTTAAAATGAAATGCTGTCCTTGTTCTTTGTCGCCTGTGAGATGAAAAGGGGTTCAGGCTACCTGTTGTTTATTAACTTCACAGGATTGCAACTAGATTAGAAATGGAATTAAGTTTGAAATTTTCTTTAGATGAATGCTGTTTTATACCTTGTCTGACATTGATGGGGTAATTAACTGCTAATAACTGCCATCTCACAGTATTAATCAACAGATTACAGAAATTGGAATCTTGGTATTTAAATTTTAGCACAGATGGTTGCTGTTAGCAATACCTTAAGAGCTAATAGTCATTCTTACTTTTTTCCTCACCTTTCATGTACTTAGTTACAGAGGTTTTCACTGTCTCTGGGAGCATTATTTTGCAGTTAGGTAAGTGGATGCTGTCTTTGATTTTTAAACGATTTTTTCCTTCTGTACTTTAGATCTATACAGATTTTGATGAAATTCGTCAGGAAATAGAAAATGAAACAGAGAGGATTTCAGGAAATAATAAGGTAAATGTTGCACTGTCCATCTTTGTCTTGCTATAGATTCTCTTGCTGCTTAAACAGTTTTGGCAGCTAGAACTGAAAAGCATTGAACTGTTCTAATGAAGGACACAGTAATCCTGCTTGCTATCTTGAGGTTTTTTCACTGTGTGTATGAGATAAATGACTCCAGCTAAAAGAAAATGCAGAGAATTGCTGTTGCTTTACTTCAAAACTTCTGTAATAATAGTGCAAAAAATAAACTTTGAGTTAAGCTTGCTTCCATTTTTCCACATACCTGGCATTACGTGTATTTATAAAATCCAGTATTCTATTCTTGCATATGCATATAATCATTGAAATATACAAGTTTCATGCGTTAAATTGAGGGGGGAAAACAGGGCTACTTCCAGAGACAAAGGAATTGTTTGACAGATGTGGCTGGGTTGGTTTTTTTTTCCTCACCATGTAGTTGTAAGGCATATGATGGAAGGAAGTTTTTCTAATATGAACTTACAGCTTTTGGCTTTCTAAAGGGTGCATTTAAATAATCCAGTACAGTGATTAATTGTTATTATTAATATATTTCTAGGGGATCAGTCCCGAACCTATTCATCTTAAGATTTTTTCATCTAATGTTGTAAATCTGACTCTTGTGGATTTACCTGGAATGACAAAGGTAAGATGCAGAATCATAGAATCATGTAACGGTTTGGGTTGGAAGGGACCTTTAAAGGTCACCTAGACCAACCCCCCTGCCATGAGCAGGGACATCTTCTTCAACTCTATCAGGTTGCTCAGAGCCCCATCCAACTTGACCTTGAACGTTTCCAGGGATGGGGCATCTACCACCTCTCTGGGCAACCTGTTCAAGTGCTTTACCACCTTCATTCTAAGAAATATCTTCGTTATTTCTAGTCAAAATCTACCCTCTTATAGTTTAAAACCATTACCCCTTGTCCTGCTGCAACAGGCCCTGCTAAAAAGTTTGTCCCCATTTTTCTTGTAAGAAAATTAATACTCTTCTTCTGACTCACTGTGAACAGTGTATTTTGAAACAAGAAGTGTGTGTTCACTCTTTGGCATTATTCTGTATTATTAGATAAATAGCTTTTCTCAGGTTAAGTAGTTGGTTATATAAATTTGAGATGTCACCATCTTCTGGTGTAAGATTTGAGTTTCTGGTGCTCTTTGCTGTTGTAAGAGGTAGATTTGCTTACCTTCTTCCTCTTTCTATATACAACTGAGAGATTGGAAGCATTGTGCGGGCTGCATGTTCTTTTTAAGTGAAGAGGTAGCACTCAGAAGTTTCAAACTTGTACCTGCAGATAGATGGGTAGTTGACAAGCCTGAAAATGTGTTCCCTGTTGCTTCTCCAGAAGTTGCTATGCGTATTTTTTTTTTGCATAAGAAGTTGTATGAAGTGAGGATACACTAGAAGAAATGTTTACATCCTGTTTGTTCAAGTTTTATACTGAATTATTTTCTGTGGCACAAAGATGAGAAGATGACTTCTTTCCCTGCCAGTGCACACATACACACACCACTCTGCCAGGTGTGCAGGTGGTTCTTGGATACCAAGTGTTCTTGACAACAGTATCAAGTAATGTGAATTATGAGTGGTCTCATACAGGCTTAAATATGATTTTGAACAGTTCTGTGTTGTTTTTTTTTCTCTAGGTGCCTGTTGGTGATCAGCCTAAGGACATTGAACTTCAAATAAGAGAGCTAATCCTTCAGTTCATCAGCAACCCAAATTCAATTATTCTTGCAGTCACAGCTGCTAACACAGACATGGCCACTTCAGAAGCACTTAAAATTGCACGGGAGGTGGATCCAGATGGTAAGCAGCAAGAAAAACTGCATCCTGCCATTCAACTTTTTAGAAATGAATTCCTAAAATAAAACTGAAGTTGTTTGGGCAAAAAGTAGTAAGAGAAACAAATATCAATGGGTTTCCTAGAAAATACAATTGTTACATTTGTTACAAGTTGCAGAGACTTCCTGCTGTAGTCTCTGCAACTCAGAGAATTCTGTGATGAATTAATATCTTGTAGACTTCTGGCTTATGAACAGGCTAAATAACTATTTCAGTAGTCATAGAAGCCACTTCTGTTTCCAGAGCAGCAAAATGGCATTACAGAATCTTGGGGGTTTTGAGACTTTTAGTAGTTTACAGTGGTCTGTTAGGATGACTTCATGCTTTATGGTCCAATGTTGTTTCTTTTAGTAGAGAGAATATGCTATCCTGCAGCTAGTAATTGACTGTCTAGCTGTTAGTTTAGTGGGTAAGTATAAAATTAATGTATACTGTCAGTATCCATTTTGGTGCCCTGCCTTTATCAGGGCAGAATCACAGAATCATTAAGGTTAGAAAAGACCTTTAAGATCATCAAGTCCAACCATCAACCCAACACCACCATGCCCACTAAACCATGTCCTGAAGTGCCACGTCCACATGTTTTTTTAACACTTCTAGTGATGGTGACTCCACCACCTCCTTTGGCAGCCTGTTCCAATGCTTGACCACTCCCTCAGGAAAGAATTTTTTCCTAATATCTAATCTAAGCCTCCCCTGGCGCAACTTGAGGCCATTTCCTCTCATCCTATCCCTAGTTACTTGGGAGGAGAGATCAACACCCACCTCGCCACAATCCCCTTTCAGGGTAATTCTAGAGAGCGATAAGGTCTCCCCTCAGCCTCCTCTTCTCCAGACTAAACAACCCCAGTTCCCACAGCTGCTCTTCATAAGACTTGTGCTCCAGCCCCCTCACCAGCTTCGTTACCCTTCTTTGGACACGCTCCAGCAACTCAATGACATTCTTGTAGTGAGGGTCCAAAACTGAACACAGGATTCAAGCTGCGGCCTCACCAGTGTCGAGTACAGGGGCACGATCACTTCCCTACTCTGCTGGCCTCACTATTTCTGATACAGGCCAGGACACTGTTTGCCTTCTTGGCCACCTGGGCTGCTGGCTTATGTTCAGCCAGCTGTCAACCAGCACCCCCAGTTCCTTTTCCACCAGGCAGCTCTCCAGCCACTCCTTCCCAAGCCTGCAGCATTGCATGG